CCAAGGCTTCAGTATCGGCTTCAAGCTCTTTTGCTCTTTTTATCTCTTTGGTGAGATCGAAGCCTGGAGCATGGATCTCTTCGAGGGTCTCCCTCCGAGATCGACATTTAGCAAGTTCGGCAACCCAATGTGCTCGAGTATTGGCGGTCTCGGCTGCCTCTCTTGCTTGTACCTGAGCAGCTTCAGCATCCGCCCGATAGACAACTACTAATACATCCGCATAGAACTTTGCCTTTTGGGCATCAAATTTGGCCTTGCCAAGTTCGGAGGCCAATCGAGCCTCAAGTTCCTCAATTCTTCTCGCTTGAACCGAGCTCTTCTCCTTCATGCCTTGAAGTTGGCTTGCAGTCGATAATAATTGGACCTGAACAGTCTCCTTTTTCTGCAGCAAGACGGTCCATGCCATCTTTCCATCCCATGGTCTCCGCCCTTATTATATAAAATTCCTCACGAAGCTGCTCGATCGTCTCAAGTTTCTACTGCAGCTGTGAGATCGAAATATTAGCCTCCGATCCTGAATCAAGCCCATGAGTTCTTAATATTATCATTACCCACTATGTCAGGTCAGTCTGGTCTTGATGAGCCTTGGCCAACTCAGCTCGAAGGCCTTTGATTTCTTCTTCTCTTTGCCCGGAAAGGCGTCTAAGGGCGTTCCTCTCCTCCGTAACCCGTCGGAGGTCGGCCTCGAACCGATGCAGCTCAGCTCGAGACCGAGAACATGCTTCTCGATGAACCGCCACGGCCTGCTAAGAAAGAAGTAAAGAAGTTAGAAAAGAATAGCAAACATAAAAGTAATATCAACAAAGAGAGTTAAAGCTTACTCGATTCAAAGCTTGCTGCACTTCGCAGAAAAGGGCCGACACATCACTAGGGCCAGCAGCGTCCTCAACCCCAGTAAACAAATCATAGAAGGGGTCCTCTCCTTCATGAGACCGGCTCATCTCGAGGGCCCCCAAAGCTTGGGTTTCCCGAATCGCCCCTTCGGAAAAGGCAGGGAGAATGGGCGAGTCTCCGATTACTATTGCCCCAAGTGACTCGCTAGGGGCGTTCTCCTCAGTTCGGAGAGCTTCAGGACCGCCCCCTTCCGATATACCCACCGTTTGTTGACCTCGGTGGGAAGCATCCTCGATCTCTAATGATTTGGGGACTCCGCCAGAACCTTCCTCTGATACCTCCTCAGTCTGAGGCGGAGCTTTATAAATCACCATTGATTCAGTTGCCTTTGGGGCACCGATGGTTTTCTTCATTCGGGCCACCAGTACGGACCCGTTATTTTCTTCTTCTTCTTCTTCTTCTTCTTCTTCTTCTTCTTCTTATTCGTCTTCATCCCTTAGACGTCTACGGTCAAAGGAATGGTATTCTTCCTCGGCTTACGAGCCATCCTCGTCTTCGGTTTTGGATCTTCAGAGGCGGAGGCCCTTTTTCTCTTATTATCCTTCATCAGCTTTGGATCAGAAGCCGAAGCCTCTTCCTCGACGGGTGAGGGCCTCAAAACTGCATCTTTGCCCACACCTACATACAGGAAAATTGATTTGAGTTTATGGGAAGCATCTCATTTGAACTACCAAAGATACGAGAAAGAGGCTCACCATGATTTTTGGCCTCCCATCGGCCCTTTGACAAATCACGCCACAAGCGCTCGGTGTATGTGGAGGTCGAAGCTAGATCCCGTACCCAATTCTTGAGATCGGGGACTGTACCGGGCATCCAAGGAACCACTGCATCACAAAAAGGGGGATATCGGTGAGAAAAGGAACGAAGGGGCAAAATAGTAGGAGATAACAACAGAATTACACTTACGCTTCATGTTCCACTCCTCGGGAAAAGGCATATTTTTAGTCGGAATCAGGTCTGAAGTCTTTACTCGAACGAACATGCCCATCCAGCCTCGATCCATATCCTCGTATATACTCGAGAACAGAACCTTGGTAGCCCGACGCTGAAGTTTTATTAACCCGCCTCGAAAGAGGCGAGGACAGTACAATCGAATGAGATGGTCGAGGGTGAAAGGCATCCCCTCGATTTTGTTCACGAAGTAACGGATCAAAATAACGATCCGCCAAAAAGAAGGATGGATCTGGCCTAGGGTTATTTGGTATTGACAATAGAAATCTATAATAACAGGGTCAAGGGGACCTAACGTGAAAGGGTAAGTATACACACTTAAAAACCCTTTCACGTAAGTGGTGATATCTTCGTCAGAAGACGAGATTACTATTTCTTTGTTCTCCCAATTGCAATCTTTTTTAGCTGTTCGAGGTGCCTCTCGGTTATCGAACACATATACCTCGATACTGGCTCACATCGGCCGGGAACCGACAAGCCTTTATCGACCTTAAAATCAGACGTAAGAACACACGCCCCAGGAACGCATTCCTCAGGTCGTGGCTCCACCGGTGTTTTGTCGGCGGCAGGCTGTGAAGAAGAAGCTTTTTCTTTCTGAGGAATGGTTTTTGATGTTTTCGCCATTTTTGGATTTAAAGATCGAGAATAGAAGGAGGTAACAAATATTTGATATTTTTGAAGAAAGATTTTGCAGAGAAGAATCACAGATTTGCGAGTGAATTTAGAAAATGTGAGAAAGAAGTTAGAAAATTTAGGGTTTGAAGATGTAAAAGTGATTAAAAGGGTTATTTATAGGTATAGCAATGGCGGTTCAATTTCGATAATGGCCGACCACCGTCTGACACGCATTAAATGCCTTGAAAAACTAAACTGACGGGACAGCTATCACGTGCGTCATGATCGAGCCCAATGAAAACGTCAGCTTCTATCTGATCGAGCCGTTGGAAAATCATGCCGTTTCTCGCTACATCCTTCCCGAGAAATGAGGGGACTATCTGTATACGGTAAAAATCGGTTAGTCATTCGTACGAACTGGTCGAAATGGTAATGCATTGGATCGGAGAAGCGTCTTCATAATATCAGGTTGAGGTACGAAGTCAGGTCACCGAGCTTCGAGCCCTAGGGACCGATCAATGTCGAGCTCGATATCATTATCGAGCTCGAACCCAAATCTAACTATGATGCAAAGTGAAGTTATCGAGCTTATGAGGCAGAGATCGACCAATACTGACCCCGAATCAATACAAGGATCCGAGTCAGAATCGAGCTCGAGTCAATATCGAGCTCATAGACAAGAGCCGTTGCAATCCCACTAGAGGAGAGAATCCTGGCAGGAATTACGGAAAATCTGATTTATCATGGGTCTCCCACTATGTATTTTTCATTATATCTAAAGTAGGATCCCTCAATTATAAAGGGGATGGTTATTATTTCTGTAAGTACCAAGTTTTGCATACATGGTAACTGAGATATCATACACTCCTATATTGAAGAGTTATCCTTTTTTAGCTTGATAAATTGATTCATCTTGCTTAATCTATAAATCATCTTCTTCTCAACTTTGCTTATTTTTCATTCTCTACAGTCAACATTCGATATTTCTATTCATTTTTATGATTTGTGTCAAGTTATACCACATACCCTTAGAACTACATACAAATTTAACTCTATCCATTTTTCGGGTAAACAAATGCTTTTGTAAATTTTTAAATATTAAACAAGAAATAACATAGGGTAATCGGTGTTCCAATGCTAACCACGGAAATAGCTAAACTATACATCGGAGATTAACATTCACTTATTATTCTTGGTTGTGGCAAAAGGTAAAATCTTTGAGAAGTAGCTTCTTTCCTTCTGCTAATTAGTAGTAATAGCTAGGTCAAATTACTTTACCATATATATTAAGCTGTTTTAGATTTGTAAGACTCATACCTCTAATCACGATATTACATTGTGTACATCATGCTAAACATATAACTTTTTACTTTTACCGGATTCTGTATTTATTCTCTATCCGATTCGTTTCCATAAATATATTTTAAACCATTATTATTATTATCCATATTAGAATTATCAAAAACATTGATCACGAGTATCTACAATATTTACTTTCCGTCACTGACTACTTTAAACCACAAAATATTAGCACTAACTGATGGAAGATTTAGCTTCTGCCAAAATCTATGTTAATTAATGTTCGACCATAGTTTAGCAATATTTTTGCTTCCTACCATAAAATGCTGCTACTTTCCATAATCAGAATCTGTATCTATAAATTGGGTATATTTTCCATTATGACACCATTTTAATAGTTTAGATCCTCTCAAATTCCCGGTTTTGCATGCAAAATATTTAGCCCCTTTTGTTTTTAGATTGTCCATTTCAATTTTGCTAATCATTCGAAGTCACTGCTTTGTGCTGGTATAATATATANTCACGTAATTAAAATCCTAGATTCGTCTCTCTTTGAACTCCTGAGAGTATATTTTGTATACATATTATATACTCGGTACATTTTTTACTCTTAAGCTTCTTGTGTTTGTTTTCTTATTTGGTGGTGGGATCAAGTTGTCTTGATGGAACAGAGTCCTTATGATCGGGTATTCACTTTGTTCCTTTCCAATCTTTACCACTTTGACATCTCTTTTCATCTTACATAATAATAATCTTATACCTGTAAATATGTGAACTATAAGTATTTATCTTGGATGCACTTTAAAACTGCAGGTTTGTGTTATAAAAATTGATGTGTGCTGTTGCAAAGTGTGTCAAAAGAAGTTGAAGAAAGTGTTAACAAAAGTCGAAGGTAATAATATATTCTCCTATTGTTTAAGTTTGTTTTATCCTTTTTCTTTCATTTATCAATTTTCATGTCAAATAGACCTTATTACAAAGGGCCTTATTGCACGAGAAGTCTATTTGTAATTTTACCAAAAATGTTAAAACGAGAGAATCATATAAATTTACACTAATATTGTAATTTTGACAAATGTGTCAGTGTATACATGCATCCACCAGCTATATGGTTGGATCCACCTCTATGTGCATGTCTTCTATAAGATTCAATTGATTTTTTGGCCTTTTACAAACTTATTTTTAGTTTTATGACACTATCTCTTTTTTTACACATGGGAGATTTACTTTTACACATAAAAGATCTAAAAAAGACATTTTCTTAAATTCAACATTGTAAAAGGCCAAGAAGGCCTAAAACCTCCTTATATGCTAGGTGTATTTGATGTTATGTATGATGTGGACTCTTATGCTAGGTGTATTTGATGTTATGTTTGATCCAAAAACAAAGTTGGGAACCATTAAAGGAAGATTTGATCCCTTTGTTCTCACGAGTACCATTAACAACAAATTGAGAAAGAAAGCAGCAGAACTCATATCTTACAACAAGCATCCCCCTCTTCTTGAAGAAGTACATACTACTGCTCCTGATCAACAAAATGCAGCAGCTCCTGATCCCTACAAGGACAAAGGCAAGACTAAAGTTGGACAGAAGAAAAAGAATCCAGATTTTTCGTGTCGCGATAATTCTAATGAAGCTTCTGATCCCTACAAGTACAAAGGCAAGACCAAAGTAGGACAGCAGAAAAAGAATCAAGAATCTTCATGTCGCGATGATTCTGATGAAACATTTGTATCGAGAAAAGACGATAAGAAGGATCATAAACCTGAAGCTTATGAGCCCCCTAAAGGAGTTGATGAAGCAATTTGCAGGGATCGTTATTGCAGAATACACAAAAGATCCGGATCCATTCAAGACCGCGTAACTAAAGAAGCAAGAGAGAAAGCATATTCTACGTTTTGGCAGCTGCCAAATCTTTACCAAGGACAATATGGCAGAGAAGCTAGTTATCCGCCATATCATCCGACCATGTTTCCACCGGAGTATGGTTTTTATCCGCCGACTCGGCCAATGAATGACTACACCAGTTACCTCAACAATGAAAATCTTCGCAACTGCAATACTATGTGAGGCTGGAAGTTGCACCAAGTTGGTTGCATACTTTGATCACATTTTATTTTCTATCTTCTTTTCTTTTTCTTCAATGATTTTTTTATCACTGTGACTTCCAATGATTTGATGGTTTGATTATCTTGGACCACAAAGACCCCAGCTGTGCAATGTTAACTGCTGATGCATTGAAAACTTCGTTCTGCACTACACTACTTTTTGGACAAATCAGCACTTTGGTTTTCTGATGGAGAATCAGTACCTGTGATATTCTAAGGCACTTGTATGCTTCCTGCCTAGTTGAAATTCATTAAGTTGTAGTCATTATAAATTACCTTTTGCTTGTTCCTGGCTATTTATAACTTACAGACAAATTTATGAATGTTTTGTCTAGGTTATACACCCAGCTTAAGAATCATATTACCGGACATCATGTCTTGTTCATGAGCCACACATAACTCTAAAGTATACTACGCCATAGCTCTGTATAGAATTACTGATGAAGCAAACTGCAAGTTCACTTTCTGTTTACCTGTATTATCGATTAGTTATAGTCAAGTCAGATCAAGGAATGGGGACCTCAGAGACTGCTACATCCACTTCCCTTCTGACTGTACCTGAAGCAATGCCTTTATATTAGAGATTAACTAAACCAGATGGAAAACTTACTTAAATTTTGATTTCCTCCAGATTTTCTCTACAAATCACAGAATAAACTAATCATGTTCAATCCTAAACTAGTTAGAACTGACTATACTCTAGAAATACTTCAAACAAATATCGAACCAAATGTAACTACAAACTAAATGTTTATCTCAATTACTTTGTATTCACATATATGTCTTTTTCCTTTACTGTAATTTGTTCTTAGTTCTGTACATATTGAGAGATTATAGGTCTTTTAGAACAACTTTCCTGATTTTAGGTCTACCTCAAACTCTTTTAATACATCATTATCATATTAATGCACCCAAGGGCTGGTGCATATGTAGGTTTCTTTCGCTAAGAATAATCATTACTTCCCACAGATCTCACATACAAGAAAATATTAACGGCTAGATTCAGTGATAAATCCTGGAATAAGCTTTGTAGAGCAATTGTGATCTCTGCCTATTTATTCCGCTTCTATGTTCATCACTTTTGGCTTCTACAAGACAGGTGCCGAAACCAGTGTGTCAGATGTGAAAGCATATTGCAGTGTTGAAAGTAATCAAAAGAGATACATTGGACAACACAAGTTACTTAAATCATTCTCAGGCACAATAATAGTATGATATAATAACAGCAACAGTACACTTCAGATGATCATAGCAAGATAACTTCGCATCAAACAAGAGGTACAATACGGGGTTTATCAATATTTAGCAACCTCATTTTTCTCACGAAAGACTTAAAGACTTTAAGACTTTTTAACTGGAAATTGCTACTGCCAGCTGGTACCTTTGCACTCACTTGACATACTTGGTAAACCAATCTAACATGTGCCGATGGGCTTCTTCAGCACTCTGCACAGCCTCTTGGTCTTCAACATTGTATCTTACTGTCCACCCATGCTTAACACTAGGAAATATTTTGACAAAGCTGTCCACCTATATTAAGGCAAGAAAGCAAAAGCAAAGGCTAAATCTAAAATCTTGTAAAACACTGGGAGAGATTCATCAAACTAGTTACCTACTTATATCAGTGTATCCCCTGAATAAACATGATAGTATTATTTTCCCACATCATCTTTAAGAATGACATCATGTAAAATGACGACAAAATCCTAAGGAGTAGTAAGGTAAGGCCCAGAGGCAGAGCGTGGAGGGGGCACCAATGTCTTTTGGTCTCGCCGGCGAAACTTCTGTCAAGACATTGCGGTGGTGGGTGGCGGTCATGGCGGACTGTGGTGTGAGTTAGGGAGAGAGAAGCTGGGTTTCGAATTGGAGAAAGAGTTACTTAGTTTCTAATTTCTGTCGTGGAGGGAAAAAGAAAAAGCAAAAAAAAGAGAAAGGAATCTGGTATGCTAAAGAAAATTTGTTCAATTACAAAACATAAAAAAACAGTATGCTATAGTCAGGAACCGAACCCGGATCATTGAACCTAAGGGGAGAATTAAGGAGCCCCGTCGACCACTGACCCATTTTAACATTTGTGTATCAGGGTGCCTAGTAAAACATATCTACATTTTGCAGGGTATATATATCCGAGGTTAACGGGATCCTGTGACCCCCCTCCCCATAGAGTAGGTTAGCCTGTGGTAAGGCCTAGCCCCCTTTATTTGTACTATCTCTTTTTGAGTATTAATAAAATAAATCACCCATGAATTCGAGTTTGGAACCTAGGTGGTTCCCTTTAAAAAAAAAAGATGTCATGTACCTCAGGTTTTGATGATAAAATCTCCTCAAACTGCTTAATAAGCTCGGGAGGAGAGATTCTATCTATCTCAGCTGCTAAAATAGCTATTGGTGCCTTAACCTCTGCAAGTAATATGTATCATCAGTCGATGGGCAGGATAGAAAAGATATATGTTCAAGGTAGTCATCAGAATTCAAACAGCAGTTAATACCAATTGCTTAGAACCAAGGGTATTCATAAATTAAGTAGCAAGGTTCGTATTAGAAAGGAATTGAGGCGTAAATGAATACAACCAGCTATATGAAGTCTTTGGAGTACTAAACATCAATCTGGATCTCAATGCCCCTTGCAGTAATAGTATATGCAACAAATTCGTATAAAATCCAGGATTCAAGTGACATTGAGAACATCAAATGGAATGGGTTCATATGCAACATATTGGTATAAAATCGGCAGTAATAGCTCAATCTGATCACAGGTGATTTTAGTAATAACAGCCATACCTTTAATATCATCAACTTTGACTAATGATGGATGCAATTGCACTGCAGCTTGAATGTAGTCAGACTTAGCTAGGTCAGTAACCACCTTTGCTGTTAGAAAACTGGAGGTCAGGATCACATTCACAACCATCACAAAAGCATTGACCCTTTACATCCTAGTAGGGGCACGTGTTAAATAACCCTAAAACCATAAAGTGCAAAAACTTACCACCCCAGCAAAATCCTGCAGCCCCAATTGCAGATATACCTTTATCTTTGAGAGCAGCAACAACTTTTTTTGCATCTTCAAATCCTTTATCCTAAAAAGAATTAACAAATAAAAAATGAATAGCATAGTGGCAAGAGTGTTGCTACAAATGTCACGGAACATTCCCGAGCATGATCAACTTAATGAATGGAGAAATAGGATACTGATGGCATGGCCTCCTTTGACTCTCTAGAGTCAAATCTATGGCTATTTAATAAAAAAGAAAGCCTAAGTTCAACAAATTATGAACACATACTGTTCCATGTGATTGTACCCAGATTGATAAAGGCTTCTCTGTATTTTCAGGATTATAAGGATCACCATAAAGAAAATCAGGAACTACCACATAGTATCCTGCAGCTGCAACTTTGTCAGCAAGTTTCCTACATAAAAACAGTTGAATTTTGCGATCACCCAAAGATATAAATAGGAACTTTGCAGCGTAATAACTGGACAAACACAGAGAATGGTGACCTGACTTCTTCCCTTGAAATGTAACCAAAAAGATATAATGATAACACATCACTGAATTGCTAGCTGTTAGACTCATTTTCTAGAAGCAATGTGGTTGTAAAGAATATTCCTACGTCTGAAAGTCAGAACGGAAGTGCGATAGAAGCAGAAACATTCTCAGAGTATACATTTGAGAGATGAATCAATCAATCAATCAACTATCCCTTAATCCCGAACTAGTTGGATCAGCTATGTATATCCGCTCTATTTGGACCCACATTTAGCTTCTTCACTCCCATCTGTACTAATACCACATCCGTTTGGTAGGACCAATCTTTTTGGTTAAATGGACATATAAACGGTGTTTGAAACTTTGAATAAGCTTAAAAGTTGGTCAAACAAGTTTTTAAGCACTCTTTTGCTTAATTTGGTGTTTGATAAACACTAGAGAGATATTAAGCCAAGAGCTTTTATACAATAAGCAAGTAACAATTGTGAGGTGGGAAAGAATAGTAATTTAAAAGCTATTTGACTATTCTAGGCTGAACTTGAGAAGCGGTGCGTACCTTAGATTTGGTGCTTCATAACCTGCCAAGAATTATTAAGACCATAAGAAATCGTCTTCCGAAATAAAAAGTTCATCCCTTCACTATAATAAACTAAACAAGAAAATCAAAAGTCTTTTGCATCTCTAATATACATATAATTTTTCTTGTTAATCCAGAATAAATATTTGTTGTATAGCCAATTTGCTTGAACATTGAAAAATTCGATGCAAAGAAACTTTCAATAACGAAAATGCAAGAACGTAAAAGAACATAATAAACATTCCATACATCCTGTTGCTGAGGCTCTAATTGTTGTATTTCTTGCTACAAGCAAATTGGCAGTCAACTTTAACTACCATACTAATTGTACTATAAAAAAGAGGAATTTTCATAAAGCACTACAGTTTAGAGCCTAATTACCATAAGTAACTATAGTTTGCCTAAGTATCATTCGTAGCTACTGTTCAATTGTTACCAGCTTGTATCACTTGTATTCAAATACCCAAATCGACTGTATTCGTTGGCGTAGCGAATACAACCAAGGCGAAATACAGAAAAATAGAATGCTCTCATTGAGAATCCAACTCAAGACCTCTGCTTATTAAGCGGGCACTCTAACCGATTAAGCTACGAAAGCTTGTTGTTCTCTTGTTTCAGTTCAAAACAATTGATCTCTTATTTAAGTACTACAGGTGGATTTGCCATAAAATTCAAATATAGTTGCGTATGGTTAAAAAAAAAGAGTGAATACCCTAAAACCCTCTTAAACTATCATATTTTTGTCAGTTACAAACTTAAACTATCTGGTGTCCCAAACACACCCCCTAACTATATCCCCTATATATTAAAAAAAAAAACTCGTCGATTTTTTAATGAAATATGTAAGGTAAATCGCCAAAAGACGCGTGAGAGATGAAATTATACATAAAATGGGCCCCAATTGGCCATTTCTAATGGTTAATTACTGTTACCCTCTTTAAAAAATTTAATTTTTGTATTTTCCCTCTATTTTCTTTGTATTCTAGCCTTCTTCTTCATTTTTTTATCTTTATTCTTCCTTTATTCTTACGGGTTTCATATGAAATTTTTTTCTTCTCTTGCTTGTTTCTTCTAAAATTATCTTTCTTCTTCATTTAGGTCTTCTTCTTTCAACCAAACCCTAATTTATTTTTATCCCAAATCTCGTATTAAACTATAATTCCCGGTGAAAACGAAGGTTATTGGGAAAAATCCAATGTTTAATCGAAGTTTAATGGTAAAAATCACGATTGAGACATGGTGTAGCCATTATCGGAGAAGATAGAAGAGAATTTTTTTTTTTTTTTACAAATGACCATGTGTTTATCCCTTCATCCTCTTCCTTTGATTTTTTAATCCCCCAAACATTTACCCATTTATTTATTTTTTATCATTATTTAAAATTCTTAATTAAATTGATATATCTGAGTAAATAGAAGGGTGTATCACACTCACCACTAAAAAAATAGACGAGGGGTTTTTAATATATTGGTGTATATAGTTAAGGGAGCGTTTTCGGGACACCGAATAGTTTAAGCAGGTAAGTGATAAAAACGTAATAGTTTAGGGAGATTTTAAGATATTCACTCTAAAAAAAATTTTAAAGTATAGTTGTTGGGTCGCGTAATTTTCCAGAAAAAGAAACAAGGGGCAGAAAGAAAAATGAAAGTGCAAATGGAGCAGTCCTATAGCCCAAAGTTGATGAATAAGACGGCTGCTATATAAAAGGGGAGGAGGTACATACCATAAACGTCGGAGACGAGAAGAATGGCGAGTTTGGAAGAGGAAGGACCAGAGACGTATGCTTTGAAGCCTCCAATTTCTAAAACGGACCCAACTCCGCTACTTGAGCTCAATGTTGGTGGGTTCTCGCAACATTGAGCCCCTGCCATCTTTTGCTACTTAAGATTGATAGAATACACACACACACACACAGAGAGAGTGACTTTATAATGAGTGATTATAGACAGAGAGAAATGGAAAAGGAGGATACCATTAATTAGGATTTCAATTTTGGTAAAAACTTACACCTGAAATGTAGAAATGAGAGATTATATAGAATCTCATTATCATATGAATGTACAACACTTTCATGCGTCTCATTCAGTGTAAACTCTTTTGAAATATTATCCCCTATAACTTTTAAATGGGATAAAAATCTCCTTTTCTCTTGACTTCAAAATGAAAGGTCAAATCACTCAAAAGCGATAGTCATTGACGGAATCATTAAAAGGTACTAGTTTTTAGCCAAAATTATCCCTTATTTATGGACAGGTCAATTTTTATCCTTTAAATATACCTCTAACCGTTTTTAGTCCCTTACAATAGAGCACATTTGGTCCAACAACATAATGGGTTAACTCTGATTAAAAACTAACGATGCTTTTCCATGAAGCAGCTCAATTGACTGGTAAAAAACACAGACCAACACTAGATGATAAACCCTTTTCATTATTCTCGATTTCCCCCAATTCCACAATCACAAACCATATTCCTAAGAAGAAAAGCTTTGATTGAGCGGAACAGCAAAAAGAAAATTAAAGTTAGATATTGAATACGTTGAACAAAGAATCAAAAGAAGCCTAGAATGGGTTCGATTTGATTGAATATATTGTATGGATGAAGATGAGATGAAAGTGAAATTCGATGCTAATTGCTACCATGGCATGATACTTGAGTATTTATTGTTCAAAATAGTCATCGATAGACTAAATCATACTTCAGAAAGACCATGATTATCTTTTGCAAACCTAATGTATAAACTTAGAGAATGACAGAGAATAACCTAAGACGTTCGAATCAGCTGTCTAATAATACCATTCATTATACTATTAGGTTATTTATACCACTACCATTATACTTTAGTTTCAAATATATTTTTTATTTAAACAGAGGGACACATGTTATAGTCTTGTTGTCAAATTTTAAATATCTCATAATTAATTAAAAAGATTCATTACTCATACCCAAAAAATAATTTTCTAAATATATATTTTTTTATAAAAATTGGAAAAAAACTGAAATATTTTTACTAAAAACTGGAAAAAAAAAACAAAAATATTTTTTTTTCAGTTTTTACAAAAATAAATGCTTTAAAAAAATCAAAAAATATTTTCTAAAATAATGTTTTTGTAAGAACTTAAAAAAAACTTAAAAGCAATTTTCTAAAGCGTGTAAAAACTTGAAAAAACTGGAAAAAAAATTAACTAAAAATTGGAAAAAAAATATTTGTTTTTTTTCAGTTTTTACAAAAACATTGCTTTAGTAAATTACTTTTCAGTTTTTGTTTTTAATTTTTACAAAAATAATTGCTTTAGAAATTATTTTTCAGTTTTTTTAAATCAATATTTTTCTAAAAACTAGAAAAAAGACTTTTTCAGTTTTTAGTAAAAAACATTTAGTTTTTTTCAGCTTTTATAAAAATATTGCTTTAGAAAATTACTTTTCAGTTTTTTTCAGTTTTTACAAAAATATTGTTTTAGAAAATATTTTTCAGTTATTTTTAAAATAATTTTTTTGTAAAAACTGGGAAAAAAAATATTTTCGCTTTTTCAGTTTTTAGTTAAAATAAATTCAGTTTTTTTTCAATTTTTACAAAAATAAATTGCTTTAGAAAAATTGCTTTTCGGGTATGGGTAATGAGTCTTTTTAATTAATTAGGAGATATTTAGAATTGGCCAACAGGACGAGGACGTGTGTCCCTCCGTTTAAATGGGAGGTATATTTGAACCCAAAGTATGACTGCAGGGGTATAGATAACCCAATAATATAACGAGAGGTATTCTTAGACCATTTTCGAAAGTACAAGAATATATTTGGATCTTTGTCGTTCATTAAATGAAGATTGAACTTTGAAATGACCCTTAGTTAATACTTATGAATTATGGAGTATATATTTTAATACTCCCTCCGATTCATAATAAGTGACTTTTTAGCCTTTGGCACACCACTTAAGAAAATATGAACTCCTAGAGAATAAAAAGATGTATTCACTAAATTACCTTTAATTAATTGTTACCTTGACACACTGGGATATGTGTCACCTTGACACATTGGGATATGTGTCACCTTGACAAATTTTGAAAAAAAAAATTAATTTCTTATTGATTATGTAAAAAGACATTTATTTTGGACCAAAATAAAAAAGGCCAAAAAGTCATTTATTATGGGCCAGAGGAAGTAAATAAAATGGGACTTTTTCGTATATATACGAAACTTTTAAACTTATTTACCCGGTTTTGTCTATGTTTTAATATTTACAAAAAGTTACTAAAGTGTTTTACAAAATATATACAAATTCGGTCACAATCTATAATTTATCTACAACTTAAATACACATTTTTTACACAGAATCCGGTTAAAAACTACAATTTACATATATTTTATATACAACTTTGTATACAATTATGTAAGTTGTAAATATTTTGTATATTATTTCTAAACTCGGCATACAAAATATATACAATTTGTTTATGCCTTCTTTTTCGAGGCTCAATATGAAACTCCAACCAAGACCACCTCGAATCTTCACCAAATTCTCTCAAAATTGATATATAAACTCCAAATAGTATTCTCAATCATTTGCAACAACACCCAACAAATAACGATTGAATCGAATCCAATTTTCAAATTAAAAGCTTTGAAGTTTGTTAACGGTTGTCAATTGAGTTTAAATTCAAATCTTTATGCTTAGTTTAATCAGTGCATAAAAATCTTTATGCTCAGTTTAATCAAAATCTGTGTCACGCCCAATGCATGTGCCAATGGTTTAATCTCTTCATTAATCAATATAATGCAAAACTTTGGATCATTTTTATCGATGGGAGAGTAATAAAGTTGTACCAGATATGTTCTTAGTTATTTTTTGTTACTGATTGTAGGATTTTCATGTCTTCTCTTCATTCATGACTTTTTAAGATTGAAACTTGTTGTTCTATATATTTTGGGTGATTGGTTACGTGGGGTTGGGGGTTGGAATACAGTGTATTGCCGAGAGACATACAGTGGGGGTGGGTAGAAACCTGTAGGCTTAGGATTGGTTACCAATTAAAGCCCGAGGGATATTAACTTATCAATAAAATGTATATAATTGATAAATTATATATCAACTTATAATTAAATTAAAACCTAAACATCGAGGGTAAATAAGTTTCAAAAGTCCACAGACCACACAATTGACACAAAACGAGTAAAATAATACATGTAGGTAAAAATCTCAAATAAAATTTAGATACTAGTAGTACTGTATAGAAATTATAGGGGATGGGGGAAGAGACAAGGAATTTTGATTTTGATACCACTAACTATAGGGTTGATAATTCTAAAACTGCATGGCTCTGTTTTCCCTTTGTTCATATTTTGTTGTTTTTGATGTTCAGAACCTCATTTGCTCCATGGTACTTTTTTATATAGAGTGTCATATTTTAAATATGTTTGATCCATTTAGTTACTAGTATTGGAGCTTTACTTTAACTAATCAATTTTATTTTTTGTCTATTTCCATGTTATTTTTACATATATATTCAAAGATTTAACTATTTTTAAAACGTTTCATTGGCAATCATTTTGAAAATATTTCAAACATCATTTCAGTTTATGGGCGATATGATATTTTAAAATTTTAAAAAAAATCTAAAATATGTTTATTCGAATGGATTTTTTATTTCATGCAAAAGATGAATAAAGTATTATTCCTTACATCCGAATACAAGCACAATTAGATGAAATTTACTCATTTCACACAAAATTTTCGGATATGTTAAAAAAGAAAACTGAAAGCATATATGTAATCTGAGTTGAATGTCATTTTGATATTTCAAAATGTAGCAACGACTAGTTCATTTTTGGCTGTTGATTAAAATAAGGAGAATTCTGACAAAATGTTTCTCTTTTGAATGTTAGTATAGTTTATAGGTCAGACGATATTTTAAAAAATTGAAATCTCCATTAAAACATTAAATCGGGTGTGTCGTTTATTTCATGCAAAAGATAAACGAAGTATTATTTCTTATGTCAAAATTATACAAGGTGGTTAGACATAATTTATGCATTTCTATACAGTATAATTGGGCATTTTTAGTTTTTTCTTTCATTTTAGATGAACTGCTTATAGTAATTCGGTAAAATTGAAGGTCACTTTTGACATTTTAAAAATATATGTAGCAATTAAACTCATTTTCAGCTCTAATTTAAGGTCTGTGGAGTGTGTAACCTCATGCAAAAGGCAAGGACGTATTGTTTCCAAAATCATATGGTTAAGAAGTTGAGTGAGATTTACTCTTTCGTTTACATTGAATTGTATCAGTGGTATTTTATAATTGAGAACGAAAGTCAAATCCAGAATGTACGTGCTCTTATAATATTTTAAAGGGAAAATGTCAGATTTATCCCTCTACTTTAATTAACTAGCCCCGTTTATCCTTATTTCTATTATTGGTCAAAATATATTCCCACCATTAACATAATAAACAAAATTATCACTAACCCTAACAGAAGACACAACCCCGCTATCTGACCCAATTCTCCATCGAACTTCCGTGCTCTGTAACCACCGAATAAAGTACAGCTTCTCTCCGTTCTCCTTCCGCCATCTTTACTCTTTGCTCTAATTTATGGAGTTTACTTTCAAAAGAATTGTTGATGTGTCAGACTGTCAGTTGTTCTTTCTTACCCTTCCTCCTCGATATTAAACTGCCCCATTTCCCCTCTCTTTCAAAACCCCTGAAATCCATATAACAATTATTTCCTAAAATTTAATTTACCTTAACACTTACTTAGCCCTAACAAACTTTCATAAAATTAGAATAAAATTCGAACTAACTCTAATTTGAGGCCAGCTTTCTCACCTACAAATTGCAACTTCTTCACCCAAAAAAGACGAAGACAAAAGGACAACGGAAAAAATAGCAATTCATCGTAAGTGGATATAGTGAGTTTTTTTTTTTTGGAAGGGTCATCAGCTTCCACTGTCGCCGCAGCTCAAAACAGTATCAAATTCAGATTTTCGTCGCTGGTTTTCTCCCTGAAGGATAGCAGACGATTCCGACAATGATGTTGTTGATGTATCCGAAGTTGGATATTTTGATGAGTGATTTGCTTGCGTTTTCCAGTGCCTTAGCTCAGGTGACTGAAAAAAATTGTTCCCTTGTCTGCCGCCATTTGGGTGGGGTGGAAGAAGAAACGGGTTTTAAAAGGGAAAATGGTTCCGACCGGGTAATGGGTTATTTGAATGGGTATGAGTTTTGGGTTGTTTGAATAGGTATGACTGGGTAATGAGACTCGGGTCGGTATTTGCCTAGTTGGCACATTAAGTGAGGGTCCTACTACCAAGTTGGAAATATGTTAGGGTTAGGAATGATTTTGTTTACTTTAACGGTAGGCGTATATTTGGACAAACGGGTATAAACGTGACTAATTTTCGATAGTATAGGGACAATTTTGGCCTTTTTCCCTATTTTAAATGATAGATATAGCACTCCTTGGAATTCATACAGTATCATTTCACATCACCGTAGCACGATATTATTCTTCAAATATGAAATACAATATAAGGTCTATCAATAATTAGCTCCATACTATGATGATGATGGTCGACATTCAGACTTTTAACTGGAAACTGCTTGGGTTCTTTGCACTCACTTGACATGCTTGGTAAACCACTCCAACATGTCCCGATGCGCTTCTTCAGCACTCTCCACAGCCTTCTTGTCTTCCACATTGTATCTCACAGTCCATCCGTGGGCGACGCCAGGATAAATTTTCACAAAGTTGTCCACCTATTTTTACAGACCGAAACACATGCAACACACAGCTCTAGATGTAATGCGATCTAAGAAATTCATTATAGTAGTTATATCTTATTCAATACATCACCTGAATAAACAGGAGAGTATTATTGTGCAGCTACATATTTCTAAGATAAAGACATCTTTAAATGGCAGGAAGGCCCTAATGTTCGCTTACCTCAGGTTTTGATGATAAAATCTCCTCAAACTGCTTAATAAGCTCAGGAGGAGAC